TTGCATCCACCGCCTTGCTTACGATTGCTGCTCTCTTCCAGCCACATTGAGAAATCAAAACAATGAATTCTCATGCAACGCCACGCACTGCCTTTCAAGGTCGCTCGTTAGGTGGCTCGGGACTTCCTCCGCAGTCGAGGCAGCCAGTTGCTCCTCAAGTTTCCTCAAATGAAGACTATAGTACGATTCCGGAGGAGGACCGCGAACATATTGATGAAGTTGTAGGTTGAGTCTGAGCCTGAGCCGCCTTGAGAAACTCTCCGCTTACAGTTACTTCTGCCAGTTTGATCTGATGGACATGAAGAAGAAGGGATGGCTCAACAGTTACGAATTCAGACACTCACTAGCAGCGCTAGGCTTTGATATGTCCAAACCTGATTACTTCAGAGAACTACAGTCATACGGCTCTGTTCCTCCCGAATGGCAAGATCCTCACAACTGTCCTGTCAACCGTCTCTATGTTTACCTCGACCAATTCCGATTATGCGCTGCCAAGTTACTCGCCAACCGCGACCCCAGACAAGAAGCGACAAAAGTGTTTAACATGTTTGATTATGACGGAGATGGTGTTATTTCCTTTGACGACATGCGACGACTAGCTTCTGATATCAAGGAAGAGAGGACCATGACAGACGAGGAAATTCAGAGCATGATTGAGCATCTGGATCACGAGGGCAAAGGCGGTGTAAACTTGGAAGAATTCATACAGATGATGGAGGAGGCTGGCTAAGCCCAACCACAGGAGTTCAAAGAATGGCACAATACCAGCCGTGCCAGAACATGACTGTAAAAAAGCCCGGTGCAAGTGGCATCGCTTGGGGTACGCATATTCTCCACGCGTGTCGCGCTTCGAGGTCGATATGTCAGCTTGCAACCTTGGATTTCCATCTTGAGCCGATTAGGTGCTTGTTGCAACAGATCGAGCGAGGCACATGGCTGTCTCAGGATCGTCCTCGCGAGTACAGAATTGTCCCGAATACACGAGGCTTGGCTAGCCGAGTCAAGCCACACAGTCAGACAAAGAATGATTCAGACAGCGACCTTTCAGGCGGTTTGGGTATGTTAGTTAGCTGCTGGGTACATTAAGCATTGAAAGAGAAAACGGGAATGGCGTAATATGGCTACAGCGGAGTCAATGGGTAGATTTCAATCACATCTAAGAATTGTTTTTCTTTTCTCGAATGCGCCAGGTGCGCTGTCTAAAATCCCAGAATCCATCACAAAAGCTTTCCCATTCTCCCATCACAACGAAGCCACCCAAATATCAGACTCAACGATGGTCCAATACCATAAAAATGTACCGAGAACAGGGGAATACCATCCTTCGCCTGCGCAAAAAACGGGAATCGGGTTCAAGCCGGGATATGAAGATGAACGTACAACAAAGAAAAGTCAGGGGTAATCAACCAAACCATCACACAACTAGCTGGTCACCGATATAATAGCGTAAATTTCGATTTAGGAACTCAACTTAGAACTGGATCAAGTCGTGGTTCTGCTGTTGTTGCTGTGGTGCCTGCTGGTGGGCGAAGGGGTTGTTCGTCTGTCCATTCATGCCAGCAGGTCCGGTCGCAGCAGGCATCTGAGCGCCATAGTTGACTGTGGGCATACCAGTGAACTGCTGTCGAAGGAAGGGGTTGTTGCCAGTAGCCTCAGCGTTGATGCGGGCAACTCCTGCACCGGCACTGTTGACGAACGTGCCAGGAGCTGTGTGCTGGGCGGGAATTCGAAGGTTGCCTGTGTTGCCAAAGGTGTCCATGCCGTCACCGCTCGCAAGCAGAGTGTTGAGTCGTGTCTCGTGCTCGTTCATCTCCTTTTGGGGAGCGACGAATGAAGGTTGCGACTGAGGGAAGCTATTTTGTGATTGCAAGGGGAAGCTGTTCTGCTGCTGGAGTTGGGGCTGAGTCTGAGGTTGGTTGCCAAAGGCGTTGAGGCTCTTTTGTTCAGGAAGCGCACCGAGAGACGGGATTGGGTTTGGTCGGGCGGATTGAGGACGGCCGAACTGGGCGAAAGGGTTGTTGGAACCAGTGGGAGTTGGTTGCAATTGCTGCTGGCTGTTGTTGGTTGCCCAGGGGTTGTTGCTACCAGGCTGGAGAGTAGGTTCAGGAGAAGCAGGCGATGAGAAAGACTGCTGCTGGGGCTGCTGCTGCTGCTGTTGTAGGTAAGGATTGAAGCCTGTGGGCTGGGGTTGAAAGCCTTGCTGGTTTTGCTGTTGCTGTTGGCCATAAGGATCGAAGCCCATGCCTGTCTGCTGGCCGTTGAAACCGGTGTTGTAGTTTGGCTGGAAGCCAGTGGGTTGGGTTTGCTGGAAGCCAGTATAGGCGTTGTTCATGTAGCCAGTAGGTTGAGGTTGGTTCTGCTCAATGGGGTTGGCAAAGAAGTCTACAGGGTTTCCTTGCTGGTATCCTTGGTTGAAGCCAGTGTACTGTGGCTGGCTGGTTTGCTGCTGAGGAGTAGGGTCGTCGTCGAAAAGAGAGGCAGCGTTGCTGTTCTCGAGTTCCCTGCGCCTTCGTTCTTCCTCTTCCTCACTGAGCTTGATTGCCTTCGCCAAATCGTCATCGTCATCTGGACCGTTCTGTCGGCTTTCGCGCTTCTTCCTGTCTTCCTCCTCCTGATACTTGCTTGCCTCCAGAGCCAGACGGTACTCAGCATCTTCCTCTTCGTTCATTTGTCGTCTCGGCTGCTGTCGTCGGGTTCCGTGGTTCACAGGCTCAGCATGCTGAGGAGCAAATTCCTCGAGGCCAGTGACGCGCGACTTCCAGGATCTTCGGTCGCTTCGCTCGGCCCGCAGCCTCTCTTCGTCCAAAATGAGTGAAGTCAACTCCTTGGCAGCAACTCGGACTAGCTGGGTGTTAGTGGCAGCTTTCAACGGCACATATGCAAACACTGACCGTTTTGTCCGACATCGCGACCATCTTCGTCGACATATTGGAACTCACGCAGAGTCTTGATAATATAAATACTCTGTCGAGCCCATGTAACAACAAGTTCTGAGCCCTCGTGAAGACAATAGTCCAGAACCTTGAGGGCTTTGAGTACGTGACGCCAGTTCTTTCCCTTGTCGTTGAGACGCTTATCGATCATGTCCATAATTTCGTAGAACTCGGTGGATCTAATCGCGTCATGCCAAGTCAGTACTTCCCATCGTGCACAAGGTAGCTGAGCAATGCGCAGGGTATTACATACGTGTTGTATGTCATTTGAGCAATCTCGCTCATTTGAGTGCCTGTCGGACCCCATGGGTCATTACTGGTAGCTACATGTCACTGTCAGCGGCGATGTTCCAGCGACGCAATCGAGAACACAGGGAGTTTTGTTCTAACCTTCTCGGACCTTGACCTGGGCGCTAGAGTAACCCTTGGTCACGTTTTTGACACTTCTCATTACCTTGGACATGATGGGCGATTTGTGATGTTGACTGTCTAGTTTCTTTGGTGAACCGGATGCGTTGTGAGCGCCAATGGGTCGGCCGAGGTATGATTTCCCGGTGTGATTCGATGAAGCTCGGAAAAAGGATTGGCCAGATCAAACTTTACAGGCGACAACCTCTGCGACACAAATCCGACACGCGCCGGTGAGACGGAGTCCACGGAAGTAGTGCAGGGAGGGGGGTTTGAGGGGGTTGAGCAAGCTCCTAGGATCACGAGATATCCGCTCCGGTAATTGCGTAGCCTTTGCGACAAGTCCCAGCCAAAAGAACAAGAATCAGTCGCCGTTTGTCTGAGATTTGGCGACCAAGAGGAGGATCGTCTGTGGAGGGTGGTTGGAGGACGGGACACAATCGTGGAGTGATTAGGTCTGGATTTCAAGAGGTCGGGGAGACCGATCGGACACGACGTTATAAGATGAGGAGCGAGTGGGAGGAGGGAGGCGAGGTGACAAAGTTTGGAGGCGGCGAATTCAAAATTGAGGAGAGTTCAGATTCTGCCGTTCAGGAGTAGAGCACAGTAAGTAAGGTAGGTAGTGATTAGAGGAACAAAATTGCACTGCTCTTTGCGCGACTCGCAGAGCTGTAGAGGGAAAAAAGAGTGAGTGCAGGACAGGATGATGAATGAATTGGCGCTCTCTCATGCGGGATTGGGAGCGGCGAGCATGGAACCAAGGCCTAAGGTAACTAATGGATGGCGCATTGTGGCTCTGCAAGCTGATTACGTATCCATTTTCACTTGCCAGCTCAGATGAGCCTTTACAAGCTGTGCCAAGATTTGCGGGGTTTCTTGGGGTTTACGAGTGCGTATTTGAGTTGGCGATGTTGGAACTTTGCGTATATACACTTTGGAGCTTCTTTTTATTCCACATTGAGGCAATATCCCCCAAATTTGCTCTTCTGTTGAGGACTCTCCAACACTTCAAGCACCTTGGCCAACTGTGGCTGAAATTTGGCTTACACAGGGTGTCAGAGCGTCTTTTACACCCGCCGGCCCCAATAGGAAACACATACGTCACGTTCCCGAAGGACCCCAGCCGCAGTTGAGGTGTCACAGATGAAATGGGCGAGTTTGGTCTATTGTCATGATAAACTCAGGTCAAAAGAAAATACCTATAAAATGGCAGGATAAAATATTAAATACTTTTAAAGCAGTATAGAATCTCACTAATTTAATCAAAGTCTCTAAAACTAGACATGACCAGCCATTCATCTTTCATCTCGTGGCCGCATCAATCCAAGTTATGATATTCGCATCCTTACCCGGCAGAAATTGGTCGCACATGGTTATATAGACGTTGCAAGCCATGTTTGGGGCAATTTTGGGGTATTTATTAGCAATTATCTGTGAGGGAAAATTATCCTCTCAATGAGATACGCATAGTGTCAATCTGGGTACCTATTCTGCGTCTCGATTCCCGAATATGTCTCCTCCTCTCGCCCGGACCCTAAACTTAACTCCGCTGCCAAAGCATATCACGGTAACCTTATCTCAGTTCCAATGACCTCTCCCATTTCAAAAGCAAATGATTCCCGAGATTTTGTGCTTCCCTTGGCGCCCAAATAGCAAAATCTAAGCCATGACAAACTCCTCTTGAGGCTCCTCCTGAAGCTCCTCCTGAAGCTCCTCCTGAAGCTCCTCCCGAGGCCCTTCTTCCAGGTCCATCATTTCAACACCGTCGTCGTCATCATCACCGTCAGGACGGCGCGGTCGCTTGGGAAAACTTCCTAAGAATCGGAAGTCTTCATCCTCATCGTCACCATCATTCTCGTCGTCGTCATCCACGCTGATAAAACTCCATTCTCGCTTGAAACCTGAAGAACAGGTGCTAGAGCTTGAGCTCGAGCTCGGGCGTGAGGACGGAGCAGGAGAAGAGAGTGACACTCCCACAGGATCAGTGAGATCAATTGGCGATGACTGATCTCCCGCTTGAGGGTTTAGAGCCTCATAGGGGGTAGGGCTCACAAACAAGCTACTGTCAGCGCGGGTCTCCCTCGCTGGCGTTATTTCAGCCTGGTCAGCAGGAACTGGAGGGGTTGTCCTGGGAGGAGATGGCGTTTCAACCTTGGTGATGAACTCAGGTCGACGATCCCGTAGGGGGCTTCGAACGAACAGAGATGTGGACCGGTCTCTGTCATACTGGGGTTCATCAACGTCCTCATCGTCGCTTATCAAGTCGATTGTTTGCCCATTATCTGACCATACCTCTTTCTTCTGCTCCTGTTCAGAGTTGGGATCAGACTGATCACCAGATAATATATTGGACAGTCCTGCTGCCAACTCATCGAGATCGGCCGGGCTCTCATCTCGCTCATGACTGTGGTCATCTGCAGCGAGATGTTGATAATTGAAGTGTGCATCTGCGCCACTGCTACTACCACCGCTGCCGCCGCCATCATCATCATCGCCGTCACTGCCATCATCGTCAGTGTCTCCCCCCATCTCTTCATCAGAATCTCCGTCGCTGTCATCGCCATCGGATTCATTCTCAGAGTTAGCCGCCTCATCCAAAGCGGCCTGCAGCTGGGGGTACATATCAGGAGGTGGTGACATGAGACCCATATACTGAGGCTCCGGGTCGACGATTTCCTCAAGCTGCCCAGCGAGTTCGACGGAAGGCTGGATCAACAATGGAGCTAGGTACCGAAGCTGGGAGAAGTGTTCATCATCTGCAGACTTTTCCCTGCGTACAGACTCATTAATATCACGGACAAAGGTCCAGTCACGAACTGGCATTTTCGGGGGCAGTCGTCGTGATTCGTCGTAGTCGAAGAAGGTCACTTCCCGGATCCCACGAAGGCAGTATAGGTAATCAACACCCTGTAACGTACGCAACGCGCGGAAGCGGCGGAAGTTAGGCTGCTTTCTCGTCTTTTCTGCCAAGAACCGAACGATCTGAGGCGGCTCATGCTTACGTCGCATATACTTCTTGGAGGACTCGGGCAGATGAATAGCAACCGTCTTCAGTCGACAGGCCTCGGGCAGATAGGCGAGATCATGAGTTCGTCGAGATACGTACTTGCCCTTTTGGTCGATCATGTACGTGAGCTTCTGTGAGCCCATCCACAACAGCTCGATGTGCTGCAGATGTTGGAGCTTGCATCCGATTCTGTTCGCAAAGCGACCCTACTCGCCTATAGAAGAGAAAGCGAATGTATTGGCTCCATAGAACAGGCTCCCACCAATCATGTTCCATTCCTTGCATACCAGAAGAGGAGCAAGGAGTTTCTGAGGATGGATTGTTCCATATGTGAGAGAAACTCTCTGTCGCCCAATGTGGAAGCGATGCAATAGCGATATTTTACCGTTGCAGTTCCGGTTAGGGGAGGCTGGTTCGAAGTATGGATCCAAACGAGAGATGGCGTGAATGATGTTCCCATCAAAAACAAGAGCATACCGAAGGATTTTGATGATTATCTTCTGTCGATCTTTGGTTGGAAGAATGTCGAAGTTGAACGGGCCGGTATCTTCTTGGTTTTGTGCGCGTTCTCGTCGGCGATATGGCTCAGGAGTACAACCCTCACCCTCTCCTGTGATAACCCTCTCTTCCTGTTGAGGGGGCGGTGCACACAGAGTGAGGTAAGGGTGTGTCCTGAGTGGCGTGGACTTCCCGAAAACTGAAGGCATATTCTCTTCCTGGCAAGCGAGCTTGTGAATATCTCCCCAGTTGTCGTAGTCAGGATGACGGCCATGTCTGATCCAACGTGTGTAGGCCTTTGGCCATAACTATTGATTGTTAGCGATTCTGAAGAGTAAGGCCTTCTGCTAATGATGAGTACATACACGTTCTGTCTTTCGAGGCTTCACTGGCCGGCGTCGCCACACGCGAAGACGTCTCTTGACATCAGGTGGCAGGCGGTTTCGAATGTCCTGGGGCAGAGATGCCTCCATGTCCTCAATGCTTAATTGAACGGGGTCAGGGAAATCCTCCAGTTCTTCTTCAGGCACAAGATCTCGGAGAGCCTCGTTTTCCGCAACAAGTCTTTCATTCTCCTGAATGTTTACCTCATTGGCTGCATAAAACTCTCTCACTGCTTCTGTCATTGCTTCCACCACTTTGTTTAGGCCTCTTACTCCGCGATTGAGTTCGGTGACCCGGTTTCTGTTAACCCTCTTGCACTCTCTCAATTCTCTTCTTTTATAGAGGAATCGGTTCCGGTAAGTTGCGAATTTGCAAGCAAGACTATACCAAGGGGGCTGGCATGTATCGATACAGTCACCATTCCATTCTGGCCATTCAATACCTTCTTCTTCCAGGACCTCGGGTAAATCGCCGTTTGGGTTTTTATGCCCATGCTCCGCATTGCCTTCTTCATCATCGTCATTAATGGGATCATCGTCGGCATCTTCGTCATCTGAATCTTCTCCATCGTCTGAACTGTCATCACCGGAATCATCACCACCACCAGGACTTCCTCCGTTAGAATCTCCTGGGCTATGTTGAGTTGTCTGATCATCGTCCTCATCGGCGTCGTCGTGATGATTGTCGCTATCTTCTGACCTGTCGGATTCGCTACCCGGGTCATCAGATGATGTTGGGGATGGAGGTCCTCTATACCCACCATCATCGCCACCACCATTGCTGATTTCACCGTCCTCCTCACCAAAAAACAGGCTTCCTTCGACTTCGGGAGTATATAGGTCGTCGTCACTGCTTTCCTCTTCGCTGTCGACGTCCATAGGGCCACCAGGCCGGTATATGATGTGCGAGATCGGCTCCCCATGGGCATCTAGTCCAAGGGAGATCTCTTCTTGGTCAGGGGCATCTTCGTAATGACCATCAATGTCTGGATGAGCATTGTCGCCTTCAGTGAGGTCGATAAACTCCACATCGGAGTCACTCGGGCTTCCGTCTGACATATTGATAAGGGATGGACTGCAGGACAGAGTAAGAGGGGAGATGGTATCGATATGCCTTGAAGGTAGGGGAGAAAGGGAACTCCAGATTATGAAGAAGAAGGAAGAGATGAAGACGAGGATTGGAGGAGGAAGAGTAGCCTTTTATAGACAAGACTGCAAGGGAGATGAATCACTATAACTGAAGACTTCAGAGAATATGAGGAGTCTTAGAGGAGGTTAGAAGAGGGAAGCTTGAGATGTTGAAGTGTAACATCGAAGTTACGGCGTGGCAGAAGGGAGATATTGAGATGGTGGATGAAAAACAGGAGGAGATGCTGAAGTTGGGTTTTATGAAGGTCGAGAAAGAATGTAATGAAGAAACGTAATTGGCAACTAAAGGGAAAAGAAGAAGGAAAGGGAGTTTTGTAGCAGGGAGAGGCAGAGGTGTTGTGGTGCCGTTCAGATGATAGAGGTGGAGTTGAAAGGGGGCTGTGATCCCCTGTGTAAGTCGGCAAATTCGAAGAGATGAAAGCCAAGCCAAAGTGATATAACCTGTTATCGCCTTGCACCAAGCCATTGGATGCCACCAAAAGAATAAACATATCCTGATACAATGATAGACATTGATAAAGTCCTAGCGATCCTCTTACAGTACTGCATGCCTCTATTACCATATATGAGAACAACTTCTCCAAGGTAAGAAAGTAAGAATTCAACACCACAACTTGAATCGATGCGGCCCCGAGGTGAGAGAAGAAAGGCTGGTCATATGTAGACTTGAATTAAGTTAGGAAGATTTTGTTCTGTTTCAAAAAGTCTTTGATATTTTATCTTGCCATTTTATATTTCTTTTTACCTGTATTTATATAAGCATTTAACAGACCAAACCCGCTCATTTCTTTTGTCACACACCAATTGCGGCTATCTCCTTTAGTGTTCCTTTAACTCATGCTCATTTGATGACTCAGTTCTTAAGCTCAGCAGTGGCAGGGTAGTGCCAGCTGCGGAAGGTATCCATAACAGTTGTGAACACGACCAAGAGGATACCACCTCCGGGACCCAAACGGAGAACCTGAATGCCTGTTAGTTGACCAACCTCTCACTTTGGGGATGACTACTCACCTTGGGCAAGAAACCCTTGTAGAGAGCACCGAAACCCTCCTCCTTGAAAACGGTTCCTACGGCAGGGAAGGCCCAGTTGTACTTGGGAACCTGACCAGGGACCTTGGGGGTGTTCTGAATTCGACTCTTGACAACGTCCAGGGGAGTGTTAAGAACAGTTCCAATGGTACCACCAATGGCACCAGAGATGAGATCGTTGGTGATCTGGGCCCTCTTGGTCTCAGCCTTGGGGAGAAGTTGTCGGACCTGGAAGATGCAGCCGAAGTAACCAGCGTTCCAGAGGATGTGACGCCACATAGTACTCTCAAGACCCTGGTAAAGAGTAAGGGGACCCTCGTTCTTGACAGTCTTGACGACACAATCGACCATGCCGTTGTACTTTCCAGCGGAAGCTTTGTCCTGAAGACGAATCTTGACGAGCTCGAAAGGAACGACGACGAAAGCCTCGGTAGCACCAGCTGAGGCACCGGTGAGGATGGAAAGCTGCTGGTTCATCTTGTCGACGCCAAACATCTTTCGGTAAACCTTGCCCCATTCATCGTTGGCAGCGAACTTGGTAGCACGCTTGGGAGCCTCCATGAGGATGGGAGCGGAAATACCGCGGTAGAGTCGTGAGAAACTGGCGCATGTTGTTAGTTGTGGGCGCATGAGAGTCGCGAGCGCAGATACCGTACCCCTCCTGCTTGATGATCTTTCGGAAACAGTCAAGCATGCCATTGTACTCAGCGGTAGCACCGGAACCAGTTTGCAATTGGCTGGTCATCAAGTCAGCAGCTGAGCTATTATTTCGAAATGCGCACGCATGGTTCGTCATACACTCGGGTCTTGACAACATCAAGAGGGTACCTGGGACTGGGTTAGCTAAAATCTCTCGAGCACGCGACAAATGCTGTCATACATCACCAGAATCTACAACCGGTACAAAATTAGCAATGGCCCTCAGACGAGTCAAACTGGCGCGTGCGTACCTCCGAGACGCCAGCAATGGCGCCTAGAAATATGAAACGTTAGCCATTGGATCTGGAGAATGGTAGAGCTGAATGAGTTGAACTGGCGTACCTGCGGCGAACTGGTACATGAAGGGGAGGGGCTTGTCGTTAGGGTTGGACATTGTGACGACTGTACAGGCGACCGAACAAAAATGAGGGAAGACCAAAAGAACAAAAAAAGGAGTTGAGCAGAGAGTTGTCGCAAGTTGACAAGAAAGAGAGAAAGCTAAGCTGAGGTTAGGTAAGGTACTAAGGTAGGTAGTCAACGGAAGGGAAGATGGCGACCTCCGAGCGAAGACCGGGCCGGGGAGTGGAGTGGAGGGAATTTCTTTGGCGGTGCGTCTGTGTACCAAGGACGGACGGTTATGCGATCTTATCGCCCTATGGTTAAGTGATAAAATTCCGTAACCTCACTTAAAATAACCTCCACTGTGACAGACGGCGAGAATTAAGTCGATGCCGAGTGGACGGAACCTTTTGTTCTAAACAAGCGCCTTGTATCCGTGGGATTGTGGAGATTATAGCAAGCGACAGCGAGATGAGACCCGGGGGAGGGATCCATTGATGCTCGGTGAGACGGCAAGCAACCGATCCATGAGGCCCCAACGTCTCCGATTATTCTCCGACGATGCGTTTGTGATTGCTGTTTTGGGCAAGTAATATTCTTGACAATTTATAATGTCTTGCGAACAGGATCAAACATACTGATATCTACACAAAACCCCAAACCATCCTAGGCCATCATGAATTTCCTACTTACGTTATGAATGAACAGAGTACCTAGTCAACCTAATTACTGATGATAACATACCCGGATGCCCGATGTCTGCCGCTAGCCCTGAAGCTCTTGGGAGCCCGTACCCGACTATTTACCTTTGAGCCGCTTGTACCTGAAGTTCCTGAACATGAAGGGGTTGGTATCGGCTACGGTATTGAGGACCCCTTGTCCTAACTACAGACTCTATGATAGGCTCTATTGTAACAAGAGTCCGCAATACCTAATGCAGACAGACATTGCTTCATCGGAGCTAGGGTATTAATTACTGAACCTCCATACATTTGCTGGAGAACACTCGGCAGACCCTTGGTTAGTGATACTTCTTCATAATAGCGGCACTTATGATGCGGGTATCTCATGAACGTGAGGCATGACCTTATAAGTGACCACGTACATATGTCAATTATATCACTATAAACAAGATGATGGATCTAAATCCAATAAGGAAAGTCTTCGGAGACGTTGACAGCCCCAAGTACGTGAAGTCTCGCGGAAGCTTGCCAATCATACCTAGGTACTACACCTAGCAAGTCCAGTTGGAGCATACACTTCAGGGACCAACTTGAGATACTCCAAACCAGACACGAACGCCATCAAGTGATTCCAGGAGAATACTCGAATACATATGATTCGGAGCGCACGCTAATAATCCACGGACTTTGACCCCTCCCCCGCGATGTTGATCCCCGTGCACGGGCGACCGTAGTCTCCATCCCGTCGGCCGAGTGGACCGCCAACTTGGCCCGTCATGAAAAGACAGGAACTTGCCTTGATCTTGAGTGATAAAAAGATCCAGGATACTCCGTAGACCATTATAGACTTGATTGGCTGACCTAAGAAACACTAGGCCTAGGTTAACTTCAAGATAACTTTAGAAAACCCCGACAAACAGGTACTCTGCAGTCCTCTAAGGGCTAAAAAGAATCTTGCAAGTTATAATCCTGTCGTGTTGCCAAGTGTTTATTCTGCTAACTACTCCTTACTCCTAGTCCATCTAACTTCCAACAGGGAGAAGGTGTTCGTCCACGTTCACGAGAGCCGAAAGGTTCACGAATCCGGTCTTGTAAACAGTATATCATCCTCTGAGCAATACAAGAGCATTCCACTGCCTTGACAGTGACACAGGAATCAGACACTAGCCCGAATCCACCCGTCTACAAATCTCGAAAGCGACAAATGAGAAACTCCAAATGAAAGCATGTGGTGAAGTGCAAGACCAAGTTTCAGAGCTTCAGAGTTGCACACCTTGGAAAAGAGTTCCGTTATTGGTTCAACCTCAATGCGCAATTCACGGAGGGGAGTTTCAGGGGTGTTTCTGGATGGCGGGGTAGGTTCTCCATCGATACAATGGTGACAGAAAAGAGGGAATACGTTTGTGATTTTTATACCAGAATATCATCACAAAATTCATGTGATAACAGTCTAAAATGTGCTGAATAGTAGGTAGCAATATCAAGTTAGGTATAATATATAACACTTTGACATATGAGAACTCTTCTAATTGACGATGGATGCTTAGAACTTATAAGAACTAAATGCCAGGCTTTCACTATTACCGGGTCTCTTTTTGACGCCTGTCTCCCCTACCTAGCTGCTAACCAGGGTTGCGATTGGGGCACGTTTTTGGGGCACCATGCTGAATGCACTTGCTGACGCGCACAATTGGCTGGGCCCTCGGTATCGAATCTCAAAGTCATTAATGACATCGCCTCTTCACCATCCCGATCTGACAAATCCCATCCCTTTCGTCTTCTGATTAAAGAAAGGCGTTCCTGCATCTGTTACACTACAGAAGACACTTGTCAACAAATATTCCCCTCCATCCGAAGATCCAAAACGACCAGCGCCCCTCAACGTTCTCCATATTCATCGATCGAACACGCGCTGGGTGGCAATCTATAACTACCTAAGGTACCGATCACAAACAATCGTCGCAATCTTTGCGCCAGCAACCTCAACTTCTGCACAACTTCACCTGGGCTTGTCACTGTCTTAAGCTCTCCTGCGCTTCAAATTGCACCTTTAAATAGGCCGTGACCCAACGAGCGTCACAGCGAGGTGCCTTTCGCGCCCCAGGAGAGTTCTCTCGCCCCCTGCCCATGAGTCACTTATTGTGGAAATCCTACTGGGAA